TCCGTGACAAAACACGTTGGCCGCCCTCGACTGTGTCTTTTGCTCGACCGACCGTCACGTAACCGCTGTTGTCGTCGCTGCTCGTCTGTGACTAACTGTTCTGTTGACCATTTCAGACCCAGGCGCCCCTGCATTACAGTATCACAAAGAGTCGAATTACCCGCCCTGACCACATGTCCGTTTTCCCCTTTACCTAGCAGGTTCGAAAGACTCCGCTCCGCAGGAGAACACAAGAATAGAAGACAGGCATGCGAAGAGTGATTGTTTTGATCGATTCCCCTTTGGTTGTAACTGTTTTTTCCTGTGCGACCCTTGACATACCCGAACGTTTTGTCCGCCCGTGTTGTTCCTTGTGTGCGAGTTCCGTGCCTTCGAATTTTCTTAATATAATCGTCAGCTCGTGTTGTGACCGCGTTCACTGGGATCACGTGATGCCGCTGATTGCCTTTGTGCAATAGACACGTGTCGAAATTACTGTGATTACCATTACCCTGAGTAACCGATTTCCATTGCATGGCTCTTGTGGAACTATCTACACGTCCAGGATCGTGTTTCTTACTGTTTACGATACACTACAGTACGCTGGCGTGAAGCGACCTAGTCTTGAGTCTACTTGAATTTATCGCTTATTGATTGATTAAATTTTTCTGTAGAACAACGGTTCACGTTGAAATAAAGTGTCTCAACCCTTACGGTATTCGTTGCGTCCACTCAGATCGTGCGTGAGACTAGCATTGCCAACTTCCAGTTTACTGCCACCACCGCCCATTTGTTTCTACAAGAGAAAAAAACTTTGGCTGGTATCGTTCACCTTTAGTGACTAGGCGGTTGCTGATGTTCGTCAGAACCTGTCACTAATGTTTGCTCACGTTCGTTCTGGATATCCGTCACAAGGAGAAACAGAATCAAGGACCGGGTTTGTCGAAACGATATATTCTGAAACTGAAATGTTGGAAGTAAGTTTGGCCAGGCCTAGGCTGTTATTTAAGCAACGGCAGGAGAAACCTGAAAGGAAATCTGATCAATGCAAGGAAAAGCGTGCGACACAGAGCTCTTGTAGTGACACGCCACTTTCACCTTTTACCTACGACTTCTTTTCTACTCGCAACGAGCTTTTGTTTTACCGGGTGCACCTTACCTGTTTACGCTCAACCGCGGAATTGTCACTTGTCCCGGTGAGTCACGCTGCATCACTGCACGTGTAAACCTTTCACTGCAGGTCTGATCCTATAAACCGTTGGTCACGAGCTATCCGCCTTCTTACTCGTCCGGAGCAATAGTCGTATTGCTCTTTGTCATACTCCATTGTTGAGGTTAATCGTGTTTGGTCATCGTAGATAGTGT